CCCACAATTAGGAACGTAAATGTATATCTCAATGTATCTATTTATCTACGTTTATGTATAAATATATGTCAATTTTTATGAGTGTCTTACTAACAGGTGTGTCTTTGTTGACTGTTTAATAATATTTTGATTACATGTAAGAAGATAAACAGGCTATATATATATATATATATATATATATATATATATATATATATATATATATAGATAGATAGATAGATAAATAGATAGATAGATATAGATAGATAGATAGATGTGTGTGTGTGTGTGTGTGTGTGTGTAAAAATTTATTGTTCATCGAAATTTATTTTTCTTAAGACAATGATATATATAATATATTTTATATATAATAATGTCTTAGTTTTATTGCATTTTTATTTTACGATTCCGAGCAGATGTTCTCTCCTATTTAAATTCTACATTTCTACCGTCTCTGACTAAACTCTGAAATTTCAATTACCATTTATTTTTTTTCTTTCATATCGTCTGATTTGCCGTCTTCTCCGGTCTTTTGAACATGAGTAGAGGTTTATCACTTGTTTCCTGTTTAGGATCCGGTTTCCGGTTCCCTGTAAAGTCTTTTCATCCTCTTTCATACTCAGTAGCCCCTTGCATCTTAGTGGCATTATTGCCTTGCTTGCGGTGATTAATAATAATAATAATAATAATAACAATATATATATATATATATATATATATATATATAGGAGGGTGGAAAGTTGAAAACACTTCTCAAACCATTTTTGACAGTTCTTACTAAATGACCAAACACCCGAATCTTTGAGAGAGGAGAGGCAATGGCATCTTGGTCAGGCCGAGAACTTTTATGTGACAGAGTAGGACAGAAAGAGACAGAGAGTTTGGGTGAGAGAGAGAGAGAGAGAGCAAGAAAAGAATGAAGAGGGTCAATGTCATTATGATGAGTAACGTGCTTGTATTCATGCAGGTTACAGAATCATAAATATACCGAGAGCCAGAAGTGAACAGTGTCTGGTCTTCGATTTAGAGAACTTGAAACTTAATGTCGATTATAAATCCCCACATACAAACCCGCATTGACATATACAGAAAAACAAACACACTTCATGCACAGGCAAATATTTGCATACAAATACATACACACGCACGATACTTCGTGTTGAAGCGAAGCCGTTTCATGGCAAATATCCACTAGAGACGAAGTCTTCAACCGCCTAAACAAAAGGATCCACATGAAACAGGAATCGAGTCCGATCGACTTACAGAGCGCAACTTGCAGGCGCCAGTCAGTGCAGGTGGTTGTAGAGTGGAGGAGATGGGGAATCGTGGGTAGCAGCAGTGGGAAGTAAAAAGGAATAAAATCAAATAAAAAGAATAAAAAGAGATGATAAGGAAAAGGTTAGTGAGGAAGGCAAAAAGGCAGGATGAGGGAGGAAATAAAACTTAAAAAAACGAGAGAAAGAATCGAAAGAAAGGAGAAATGAGAAAGAGAGGTAAAAAGAAAGAAAAAGGAAAGTGAAAAAAGAAAGTATGGAAGAGTTGAAGCACAATTTTTTTTTAATGAAAAAGAAAAGCGAAATGAACTGAAATGAAAAACCAAAAAAAAAAAAAAATGGTTGTCACGATGGCACTGGCGAGCAAATATGTCCTTACAGATCATTACTGCTAAAATGAATTTGATCCCCCCATTGGGCGCTCCAAACTTTTGGCCTTTTACTAGACTTAGTCAAACATTGAAGATATTTAGAGGCGCCTCGCTGTGATATAAAGGTTAGCAAGCTAATCTCGTTACTTAATTCAACTCAAGTGAATTAGATCCGCATTGAGTAATCCCAAAATATAGCCTTGTGCCAGCATTAGATTGGCTTGAACGGATGAAAAGTTGAAACAAAATGGTTGTTTCACCGTAGAATAGATACAAACGGCTTGTTTCTCAGACCCTTAGGACCGGTGTAAGTTCGATCCCAAGATCTGTAGACTTGTGCCAGACTATGCTAAACTTAATATATGTTTAGATGTGACTCGTGTTAATAAAAAGTTACCAAGATAGTATGGCAAAGTATTGCGCCTGAAGTGAGTTTAATGTTCACTGTGAACTTCGCGTGATGGAACAGTCCAATATGCAAATTACCAAAATCAAACCAGTACAGAAATTTAAATATCTTGGAAGTGTTTTAACAGATGACGGATATCCGATGAGACATTTGTATAGCGATTGATGCAAAACAAAGTATTAAGAAACGAAAATTTCGTTAGAAACAAAGAAATGATAAGTGAACTGTTGCGTAATATCAGTCCTCCTATATGGTAGTGAATGCTTGACAGTCTACAGAAGGATGCTCAAAATACTATGTACCGAACATGTGAGCAACATCGAAGACACTTAACATCTAAAAGAGACGGTAGAAATTTTTAGCGCACATAATGAGGAAAGAGGGCTTAGAAAATTTGATAGCCACGGAACAAATTGAAGGCAATAGGGACAGAGGAAAACAACGAATAAATTATCTAACGAGCTTGAGTAAATGGATGACAGAATAGGGATTTTGAGAGATAACAATAGCACAAATGACAGGAAATTGCGGAGAGCCATGATGGCTAATATCCTGAATGGATACATAGAAGAAGCATAATAAATATGGAAAGGAAAAACATTAGAATATTTAAGAAGAAAGAAAGTCAACTGGGAAAACAAATGAAAAGAATGTATTTTTTTTTTCTTTTGGTTTCATGTACATTTATTATGGTTATAAATATTAGATTGAGACATAAGTAATTTCCCTTTTACGGAAACCACTTGTAATAACAAATGTATCATCTTAACAACTAATCATAGGTGACAGTTAAGAGTAAATGTGAAGTACGCTAACATACAACAATGTTCAATGCAAATGACAGAGATAAATCTCCATAACCAATCCCAAAATCCATGAAAGAAAGTTATTTTTATTGTTTCAACCAAACCAATGCTATATTACTCTTAGGACGCTAACGGTTACAGGAAGTGAAAGAGAATGAGAAGAGACTGCAGTGAAGATAAATGAAAAGAAAGAACAATAAATGGACAAGTTCCAGGAAGACAGAAGATTGCGATTGGTGTTGCATTTAATCTTTTTAAGAGCGTCAGTGGAAGAAAAGCAATGCCGGAAGGGAATTCCACAGGTGAGAAGTGCAAGAAAAGAAAAAATAGAATAGAACCGACGGTTGCATCAAGCTAGTTCAACGGTAAAACGTTGTGACCTACTTGCCAATCTAGTAGCACGCTTAAATGCATGCAGTCTAGGTACCAAGAAGGAAAGCTTATCAGAACAATTACCATGAAAATATTTGTAGCAAAGACAGAGAAAAACCAAGTCACGTCGGTGAGTAACTGAAGTCGAGATGCCAGGTCAGGATCGAGTACATTCCAGACCCTTCTTCGAATTTTGTCAATATATATATATATATATATATATATATATATATATATATATATATATATATATATATACTAGAGGTACCAGATCAGATATGGCAGCAGTATTCAATGCACGGGCGAATGATAGATTTATAAATGTGCAAGATGGATTCTGACAAGAAAGATTGCCTGGCACGACACAGTGAATCAATTTGCCAAGCAGTCGGTAATGTTAAGTATGATTTAGAGTTCATAAAAGACAACATTAAATGCACATTTATACGTCTAGTAGCTGTAAGGTATCCATACAATTTAGTGAACTGTGCCGAGCGCTCAAGAGAAAAAAATGTTGTTTTCTTCCATGACAATGAAAAGTAGAATGTAACAAGAATAACACAGAAAAAAGAATTGGGAACACGGTTGGATTCTATCCTACCCTGCTTGGCATATCCACCTCACCTGGTATCAACAGATTATTACCTTTTTTTCGTTTGCTGCAAGACGCTTTGAATGGAAAAATTTTCTCTAATGAAAAGCAGATTCAAGTGATCGGCGAAAAAATTTCTCTCTTTAAAACATGCGAAATTTTGCTCAAAACCTTGTCGCACTAATCCCCTTGGAAAAGGCACGAGTCAAGTTAAACTAGACTGCTGCGTACATCTAATCCTGAAAAGCCGCCCCATATAACTTTTAATAGCAAGGTGGAAGAAATAAGAATTGCTAACTATGAAATGTCAATTTTACAATATCTTTATTCATGTTCGCATCAAGATCCATTTTAAGCAACCGGTCATGTAGATTAATAGTATAATAGAATTTTTGAATCATTCCACCTCAAGTAAGGCAATAAAGCCACTAAAACACAAGAGGTTATTGGGTGTGAGAGAATGTAAGAAAAAACATTATTAAGGAGAGAGTGCACTAAAATAACAGGAATTCAGAAGACAGAAGATAAAGATTGATATCGCATTTAAAATTTTGAAGATCAAAGTTGACTGGGAAGCAAGAAGCTGGAAGCTCCACAAGCGAAAAGTGCGAGAGGATAACTCTTAGCATAGAACTTGCGGTTACATTTAACCATTTCAACTGTAAAATGGTGAGACCTTCACTCCAATCCAGTACAGCGTTTAAATTCATAAAGTCTCAGTACCATAGAGGAATGCTGATTAGAACAATTACCATGATAGTATTTATAAAGAAGGCACATTAGTAGCAAAAAAAAATAGAATTCATTGTTCTTGTAGAATAGAAAAAAATAATTTTTAAGGTTATGTTATTTGCTAAAGTTACAGACATTTTTTTTTACCGGACATTAATAATAAAAGAGAAATTATATGTTAATTGTTGTTTTGGTTGCTTGTTTTTGTTTATCAATGTCTATGGGTTATTTAATGCCAAAATTTATATATTTTGTACGAAATTTTATTTATTTTTAGATAATAATTGTTTAAGTGATACAAGTCTTACTAATTAATCCATAGCTTGGAGGAGTAGAGGTGTATTCACGCCTTTACCAAAGGTATTTGCACGTAAGTGAATAAAACGAATCCAAATAGAATTAGAACTCAGCTCTCTGATTAACAATTCCGAGCCACTGTCCATTACACGACCCACACATCCAAGTTTACAGCACCTGGTATTTCCAAACAATCACCCATATTGCTACTGACCAGGCTCGACGTTAACTTCAATGATCGGACGGGAACCGGTGTTTCAATGTGATAGGGCCGTAAACCAATGTTAAGTGTCGCTATAAAATATATTCCAATATAACAGTAAAACGACCCTTTCCCCATTGATGGACAAAAGTAATACTTGAAAATATTTCCTGGACCCAATAAATATGTGCTTTAATAATAATGAAATATTTTAAACCTGTATAAAAAAAACAAATAAACAAATTCCCTCATTTCCTTCACGCACAAGAAAGAAGCAAGAAGGCTGAAAGAGAATTCCCCACTAATTTGGGAACTCGATTGATTTGTCTTACCTTACTTGCCATATTCACCTCACCTGGCACCAACAGATTATTACCTTTTATCGGTTGTTGCAAAATGCTTTGATGGAGGAAAACTTTCTCTAATGAAAAGCAGATATTTTAAGAGATCCACAAAAAATGTTCGCGTCGAAAGCTGAAGGGAATTTTAATCAAAACCTAGTCACACTAATTTTCATGGAAAAGGCATGAATTTTCACGAAATTGAAAACAACCGAGTTTGAATATTTTCCCGCCGGTTCCTCTTGAAGCGCCGGCAGTGATGACTCTCACAGCACACATCGTCCATACACGGGCCCATTATTTTATTAAACGCTAATAAAAATGAAAACATCTCTTTTATTAAATAAAAATAGAAGGTTATTATATCCATTGATAATGATGGCAGACAGAGGTCGCTTATTCATTCATTTATTCTAGAATAAAATAAATAAAAATTCAAGTAGCAGGCCAGCATTTTTCAGTTTTCGCGTTATTTCGACATTAATCTGGCAGAATTGAATGAGAAACCATTTGCTTTAATTGAATCACTCTTTTGTTCATATCGCTTTCAGCTATGGAGTATGAACCATAATAGAATGAGTCATTTCGGAAAAGCATAATTCAAATGCGTGTTGATGACTCAACTAAACGAGTTTGCTGCTTGGTAGATCGAATTTTATCTCCTCGTCGATTCAGATAGTCCAGAATCGTTAGCCACACCTTTTATGCAATAACTTCAAAAAGAGTTATACATATAGTTGTAATATGTGCCAGTGTACTACTACAATATACAGAGGAATGTTCCGGAAATCAATATAAAATAATAGGTGTTGTGGGTTTGAGATCATGAAAGCGAAATAAAAAAGGATATTTATACGTAGCATCAGAAAAAGAGTTGAAATTTCTAGGATACTTAATGAGAAAAGAGAAATTTGACAGAGGAAAGCAACAAATAAACGACCTGACGAATTTGTGTAAATACTTTGCAGAACAGTGATTAGGAGAGATAGGAAAATTACAAAGAAATTACAGGGAGTTGTGGAGAGCCATGATCGCCCACGTCCTGAAGGAAGATATTACATAGAGTAAGAAGTCGATTAAGATCGAAGTAAAGAATGGGTTTTAACGATTCATAATTCACTGTGTTAATGGTTTCTCTGTTTTTATCTATTTAACAAGATCAATAAATATCATTTCTTGTAATTCTTTAGATAGAGGAACGCTATTTTTACCGATTTTACAGATTTTTACCGTTATTTTTTTTTTTTTTTTGTAGAAACCCACATTTGAGTAGATGCTCAGTTGTTAAGCGTCTACACAAATAACCAGTATATTTGTTTTCGTCTCCCGCAGAGGACTTATTAAAGAAAAATCAAAAGATGCGTCCTCCAGCAGGATTCGAAACTGTTGTTAGATCCGATGTCCTTGTAACCGACTCGGCCGTGAAGAGTGTCGCTGATCAAGTCCGGGCGAATACTGCATTTGAGCACAAGTCTTCTCGTTCATATTTGCTCAGTTTCGTATCCGAAACAAAACAATTTCTAAAGAAATAAAGGATTTTTATTTATTTTATCTGTCAGATTTTATCCCTTTAAACTTTACTTTTAGTGGATAATCATATTTGAGTAGACTCTCCGTTAATCCTTCTGATTAATAAATAAAATAAAACCCATTATTTCTTTAGTGGAATTTAATGATGAACGGTCTACTCCGACATCCAGTGTAGAATATATATATATATATATGTGTGTGTGTTTATGAGTGCATATATATACTTCGAGTAGATAGAATTAGTCAGCCCGGGAGGGTAGTCCATCTAAGAGAAGGAAAACTCTGAATTTAAACCTTTAAACTTTGTTCTGGCAACTCCTGCGACGACACCGGTGCCAAGTTATATTAGACTTTCCCTTGAACAATTTCAGTGGCGTGGAGAGGAGAGACGTTCTGCATGGGCAACCGCCGATCTCTCATAAAGCCCTGCCCATGTCGCCTCACCGTCACTGCAAAACACGGGAAGCAACAGTCTATTGATGGGAGGATTCTGAATTTCCTTCTGTATGGAGAACTTGCCACCGTCAAGAGAGCACGACGGCAACCTCATATTCGCTACAAGGAAAGTCTGCAAAAGTGACATGAGGGCCATGGACAGGTGGACATCAACAGGTGGAAAGACATCACCAATGATAGCTTACGTTAGAGACGCGATTTACACCGCGGACTGGAACGAGGGGAGAAGAAACGGTGCCTTACTGTCGTGGTGAACTGTATTCGAACGAAAGAAAACAACACAGCGACATCGGTGGAGAGCATCTTCACGTGCATTGGTTGTAATTGAAACTGTCACGTCGGTGTGGACACGTACAGCCATAGATGTAAAAATGTTTGGGCTCAGATTCATCGTCTCTCGAGAGCGATAGATGCCACATATAAAGAATAGTATAATAACATAGTCGCGGGAATACAATAATAACACTATATTCTTTATCTAGTGGAACACTGTATAAGGAATCGTGGAACACTGTATAAGGAATCGTGGAACATTGTATAAATAATATATAGAGCGAATGAAGCTTGTGGTTCTAAACGAGGTCTATCCTTCTTTGACTAGTGCTAAAGAATCACAAATTGCGCCAAACAACAGAAAGCACATCACTTGAGGTCTTACGAGAACGGCAACAACTAAAATGGAAAACGCTCAAAATAATTACATAAAATGTCGACATTCCGCACTACGTGAAACAAAAAGTTAGGGCGGAAAGCCCCCCCACACACACACACACACACCATCAGTAACAGTTAGTGGACTTAAAAATCCTATTTCTCTGAAAAAAAATATTTTAATAGAAAGATTTTATAAATTTCAACCAAGAGTAGCACTGGCTACACTGTCAATGAATACTGAAAGTACGACACCAAAATCCGAAGGTGCATTGGCATAGCGAAAGATGCCTTCTTAAAGCTGAGTAAAGTATTAAGAAAAAAAATTTCGTTAGAAACAAAAAAAAAGTGTATTGAATTGTTATGTAATATCGGTCCTCCTATATGGCAGTGAATGGTGGCCAATTTCGCCAAAGATGTAGATGAGACTTGATGTAACAGAAATGTGGTTCTACATGAGAATGCTGAGGATAACATGGACTAAACATGTGAGCAACGACGGAACTTTAGAGAAAATTGAAACAAAAAGAACATAATACTTAATGTCAGATGGAGAAAACTGAACTTTCAAGGACGCATAATGAGGGAAGAAGAAGAAGAAGAAGAAGAAGAAGAAGAAGAAGAAGAAGAAGAAGAAGAAAAGAAAATAATAATAATAATAATAATAATAATAATAATAATAATAATAATAATAATAAGAAGAAGAAGAAGAAGAAGAAGAAGAAGAATAATAATCGACATAGGATCTGGTAGTGTTCCAAAGTCCATGACCTTCGAACTAAATTGGTAAAATCTTCTCTTTCCTCTCTCTCTCTCTCTTCCCTCATCTCTACCTTTCTCTTTCTCTCACACTAAGCGTCACTTCTCAACTATGACATTGTTAGATGCTGCTTTGTAACAATTCATTTCTTTTTTAAAAGAAAAATTTATTACTTATTTTACTAAAGAGGTGTATGACAATATTTATAACTCAATAACAGATTTAAACCCGACCATCAGCTGTCTCAGTCATTTAACGCCTAATTAGGAGATAGGAATATACTCTAGAACTTATCATTGGGTTGGAATAAAAGTTCGTATAATTTTTAAGTAAATGTCAAAGACAATATTTAAATATTTCTACATAGTCTTAGTTAATAAAATATGTCATTTTATTCACTACATTTCGCCATCTTTGAGGCAGCTTCATGATTCCATTCTTCCAAAACCTAGCATCTTTCTGGACAATGGTCTAATTGGGTTTTACAGAGTCCAAGAGAATTGAAGATCTTCTCATTAAAAGAATTTTTACAGAGATCGAAATAAGTGGTAATCCGAAGGTTCAAGGTAAGTATGGTGAACCTTAGGCACGCCTGCATTGAGGACTGGCAATTAACAACAACCTTTATAGTAAGGACTTGATAATTCGAAAAAGACTTCCAGTGATTTCATAGCTGGAGAGTTTGTGTAGCAAACCTATATGCTTTACCTTGCCAAAGTCCTTCGTTATAATCTAATATGGCCGCCCTCGTGAGCCGTCTATTCTCTAATGTCTCGTTGATTCTGTGAGTAGAACATCTCAGCAAAGCTATACAAATTTTTGATGAGTCTGTAAACCGACGTGAATTATGGCTTTGTCTTGATGCACTCATTTCAGCAGATTGAGGACTTAACTTTATATTATTGCAGTGATGCAACATCTCGAAGTATTACAATTTGTAAAAGTAGTCGACCTTTTACCTAATTTGCTAAAATTGTATTCTGTCTGTTTATCTCTCTCTCACAATTGTAACTCTCTCACCTTCGACTTGGTTAGATGTTGTTTTTTTACTAATGTTCACACAATAAAAGGCACAAAAGCCTTTTTAGGTAGGGGGTTATTATGTGAACTTTTATTAGCGTAGGAAAGAACAAACATTAAGAGTACAGAACTGAAGTAAACCTATCTGTCTATATTTCTGAAATGAGGTATTATGTACACTATTTACATTATTGTCCTCTTTTTTGTTGCTGGTAAAAAACATGCAATGATAATTGCAAAAATTGCAATATGAGTACTGGTAAAAAATGATTGCTGAAGACATTAAGAATTTCCCAGAAATTCATACACAGATGTC